GTTAAATCATGTTTCCTGAGCCCAACAATATGTTGTTTTAACTTGTATGGAGTCATCCTCCAGTAATCATGTATATCGTACCGTGAAAAATGGTTTGTTTTTTAGGAAATCTGTGTCCTAACTCAGTCCATGAAGCTCTCTGAGCAGACAACAGCTGACTGATGCTCTGGAGTTGAAAGAAGGAGATGATGCAGAGCAGCATCCACGCATGCTGCACAGCAATGTCAGAGACTTTCATTTTGAAACTTTACACAGAAAATATTAATGTCCCTTTTTTAGATGCTTGGAAATGCGTTTTTTTTAAAGTAATAAAGTAACTGGTGTTCTCATTAATTTTTTCAAAAAGTTCTATTAGAAGCAAAGAACAGAGTTAGTGTACAGGCCAGACCAGATTTATGACTGGTTTTTGTTTCCTGTGGAAGACAACAAAAACAAAGAAAATGAAAACAAACAAAAAGGAAAAACAACACAAAATGCTTAATCCCTGTCAGTTCTTTATTTCTTTACAAGTCCCAGATATAATAACTGTCAGACTTTGGTCAATCCTGAGTTTTAAAACATGTAATGAAGCTCCTAAAGAAATCCTGAAGCTTTGAACACAGTATGAGTACAAAGCTGTGAGCCAAAGGGCCACACTGCAGCACTTTCAGAGAGGAGTGAAGAATCTGGGTATAACTTTATCTTAAAACAGACAATGACTTCTTTAGTAATTTCTCTTTATATTGTCTAAATGTATATTGTCTCCTGCTTACATGTCTTATGTCATAAGACAATAGGTTCTTTTCCCAGTCTTTTCATACTTTATCTCTTTATGTTTTGTCTTGAGGACTTCTTGGTAAAGGTGCAGGTTACTCTATGATGGGAGAGATTGTATGCCCCTTTTCCCATGCTCAGAGAAGGGTATAAAATGTACCATGATTTTGTTTAGCTTTAGAGCGACTTGAAACGTTGTATGGCTCTCACTTCGTGATGTTTTTTCCCATTAATACATTTTCTATTTCTTACTCACTTGGGACTGACTTAGGCTCTTTCTCTAGAATAGATTTTCCACAACTGTTTGGCGTCACTAATAGGATCCCGAAATGCCGAAATGTACCTATAAGTGACCGTACAGCCTGGCTTCGAATAGTTTTAGCTTAACCTCCAAAGACTTGGGAGAGAGGACTAACAGCTTCATTTCTGGAGCACCAGCACTGGGATTAAGCACGGACATGTGAAACTAGTCTTATTTAAGGGTCCGGGGGGAAAAAATGTGTTAAAAGCGCATAAAACGCTTTATTGGCTCCCAGGAGGATTCTGGAGACTGGGAGAGGCTGAATTCGTCTGTGGTAGACTAATATGAGCTAGAGCAGGGTTTGGTCCTATTATTAAATAGTAAAGGAACAGGTAAATGTACTCGAGGTAAGTACAGGTATTACTTTTAGAGAGAAAAGTATACATTAAATCCGCGGTGTTACATTTGCAGTGTCAAAATGCGATGACTCTTTCACAGTTATTACAACAGCAGCTGGAGTACGACACCACTATTCAGAAGCTGTGTTGAATTGAACTGTGTGATCAGGTGAGGAGCGTAGGATACGGTACTTTTGGAAAATAGTACTGGTACAGGTACTTGTTGCGAGTGGGTTACTTTTTTAAAATTCTTATTAATTTTTTTGACAGATAAACATACAAATCAACGAAATCAAGAAAATTGTAAACATACTTCAGTTTTCTGTCCCTTTTGAATATATCAAAGAACCAACAACACAAAAACCTAAATAAAATGGAAGTAAACAACAACAACAATAAAAACAAAACAAAGGACAAACAAGTTATACCATATATCAAACCTAGACCTCTGAGCAAATCAATATGGTACAGGAGTATCACATATATCACATTTATCCAGTCATTCTCATGATCGAAAGACTGACTCTGGTGCGGGCACAAATCACTAGCCAGACGGAGTGAAGTCAAAAGTTTTATTTTCCCTCAGGGAGATGGCCAGCGTGGAGATGTGAGAACGAAGGGAGTAAACTATCAGAGGAATGTAGATCTTAATCCAGACGGGGTGGTGGAGGGTGGATGGGCAGGTGAATAATCCAGGGAGGAATCTGAAAAGAAAGAAAAGAAACTGCTAGGAGGACTTGGAGGAAACACTAAGGGTTGTAGGAAGACAAAAAGGTTAAGGTTTCTCTCTGGACGAAGATATTCCACTGAGCTTTGGAGCTAAATGGTAAGTTACTAACTGCATGGAAACGAACCAACTGGCATCAGCCTCTTAGTTTACAGAGAACCATTTTTAAAACATTATTATTAGATTACACAGCATGACCTCTTTTTTCATTTTTTATTATTAGCTGGGCAATGACAGTGAGACCTGGAGGGGCGCGGTTGGGAGGAATGGCCCCCCCAGCTTGAGCCCGAGTGGTGTTTTGTTGTTGGACTTCTGTGCTCGGCACGGATTGTCCATAATGACAAGGGGGTCGCCCCCGGTTCTGGTCCATCATCCGGCGTCTCAGGGTGGGGAAGCAGTGCTCCACCAACACTGTTTACAGTGGGGGTGGTGTGCTGTTGACCTCAACTCGTGACGTTGTGGGTCGGTGGGCGGAGTACTTCGAAGACCTCCTCAATCCCACTGGTGCGTCCTCCATTGGAGGGGCAGAGCCTGAGGATCTAGAGTTCGGCTCTCCAATCTCCGGGGCTGAAGTCACCAAGGTAGTCAAAAAGCTCTGCCGTGGCAAGGCTCCGGGGGTGAATGAGATTCGGCCTGAGTTCCTCAAGGCTCTGGATGTTGTGGGGCTGCGTCGGCTAACGAGACTCTGCAACATCGCGTGGACATCAGGGGCTGTTCCGCTGGATTGGCAGACTGGGGTGGTGGTCCCCCTATTTAAAAGGGGGGACCGAAGAGTGGGTTCCAACTACAGGGGGATCACACTCTTAAGCATCCCTGGGTAGGTCTATTCAGTGGTTCTGGAGAGGAGGGTCTGTCGGACAGCCGAACCTCAGATTGAGGAAGAGCAGTGTGGTTTTCATCCTGGACGTGGAACACTGGACCAGCTCAATACCCCCAGCGGGGTCCTGGAGGGTGCATGGAAGTTCGCTCAACCAGTCCACATGTGTTTTGTGGACTTGGAGAAGCCATTAGACTGTGTCCCTCTGGGTATCCTGTGGGGGGTGCTCCGGAAGTATGGGGTACCTGGCCCTTTGTTACGGTCTGTTCGGTCCTTGTACGACCGGAGTCAGAGCTTGGTTCGCATTGCTGGTAGTAAGTCGGATCCGTTTCCGGTCGGAGTTGGACTCCGCCAAGATTGCCCTATGTCTCCGGTTCTGTTCATAACTTTTATGGACAGGATTTCTAGGCGCAGCCGAGATGTTGAGGGTGTCAGTATTGGTGGCCTTACGATTGCATCTCTGCTTTTTGCAGATGATGTGGTCCTGTTGGCTTCATCAAGTCGGGACCTACAGCTCTCGCTGGAGCGGTCCGCAGCCGAGTGCAAAGCGGCTGGGATGAGGATCAGTGCCTCCAAGTCCGGGACCATGGTCTCTCACCGGAAAAAGGTAGAGTGCCTCCTCCAGGTCAGGGGGGACATCCTTCCCCAAGTGGAGGAGTTCAAGTGCCTCGGGGTCTTGTTCACGAATGGGGATAGGGAGTGTGAGATCGATAGGGGTATCGGTGTGGCGTCTGCAGTAATACGGGCGCTGTACCAGTCTGTCGTGTTGAAGAGACAGCTGAGCTTAAAGGCGAAGCTCTTGATATATCAGTCGGTCTACGTTCCCACCCTCGTCTATGGCCACGAACTTTGGGTAGTGACAGAAAAAACGAGATCCCGGATACAAGCGGCTGAAATGAGTTTTCTCCGCAGGGTGGCTGGGCTCTCCCTTAGAGATAGGGTGAGAAGCTCGGCCATCCGGGAGGGGCTCAGAGTAGAGCCGCTGCTCCTCCACGTAGAGAGGAGCCAGTTGAGGTGGCTCGGGCATCTGTTTAGGATGCCTCCTGGTCGCCTCCGCGGTGAGGTGTTCCGGGCAAGTCCCACCGGGAGAGGCCCAGAGGAAGACCCAGGACACGCTGGAGGGACTATGTGTCCTGGCTGGCCTGGGAACGCCTCGGGATGCCCCCGGTGGAGCTGGCAGAAGTGGCAGGGGAGAGGGAACTCTGGGTTTCCCTGCTTCGGCTGTTGTCCCCGCGACCCAACCCCGGATGAGCGGTGTAGAATGGATGGATGGATAGTTTACAGAACCGGTGACTTTTTTTTCCATTATTATTAGTTTACTGAACAGAAACAGTTTTTTTTAATTATTATTATTATCAGTATACAGGGCAGTCCCTGTTTTTCTTATTTATCATCATTAGTTTACAGAACCTAATTCTTTTTATTAGTTTACAGAGCAGAACCTGATTTTTTCAATTATTATTATTATTATTAGTTTACAGAGCAGAACCTATTTTTATTGGATCACTTTACAGAACACAATCTGTTTTTATTGGGTCAGTTTACAGCAGAGCCTGTTTTCATTGGCGTTCACACGTTTCCTCCGTGTGTTGTTCTCCTCCGGTCCAAAGGGACCCGGTTCAGTTCTGAACCGACCCGAGTGGCGATGCTTTTGACAGAAAGTGGACTCAGTTCTGCTGTCAAACATGAGAGGGTTTCCAATGTGAGTCTGAGGAATTAAAAGAACAGAATCAGGTTTTTATCAGGTGCTTGTGTGACAGGACCCAGGGGCCTGAGCCCCATGTTATCAAATCCTTCTGGCTTTAACACATTCCAGAGCCATTATTTGCTTCTTGTTATTAAAGCTCTTGTGTTCAGATCCCCTTAGAAAAGTCTGTCTTCATTAAAATCTCAACATTTTCCACCCATCACCTTTCTCCGCCATCATTTTTAACAGGTGTCACCGGACTGAGAGAACGCAGGAAATTCCGACTTTTCTTCTGGTCGTGAACGCAGCGAGTAAAGCGCGACAGGTTTCTTTCACGGTGGTCTTTCCTCCTTTTTTACGTTTTGTAAGCGGTTAAAATGAGGGGCGTTATAGGGGTTAACCGGGTGTGTTTCGCACTCATAACAGACAAAAAAACTCGCCTTTATGAGCAGAAATCTCTTTCGCTCAACGGCGTGTGGACTCAATGGGAGGAGATAGCTCTGACGTCGCGACGTCATGACGACAGCCGGCACGCAGGCTTCCGGTTTGCCGCTCTCCGGATTGTTTACAAGCGAGGTGCTCCCGCCTCGCGTCCGGACCGGTGACTTTTCGGATCCGCCAGCCTCAGCGAACCGGTTCCGGCGGGTCGGGATGATTAAGACGGAGAAGGTGCTGCACCTGAGGAGCTGCCGGGGCCGGAGGGTCCGGGTGGTCCGGGAGCACTACCTGAGGGAGGGGGTGCCCTGCTTCAGCTCCCTGTGCCAGGCGGGCTGTGCCAACGGTGGGTGGGAAGCACCACAACACACCACAGAAAGCCATTCACCAGCTACAGAAAGGCAAACAAACCACACAAGACACCTCAGAAAGCCATTTATTAGCTACAGAAAGGTAAACATAGCCCATAAAAGCCATTTATTAGCTACACAAAAAGGTAAACAGAGCCCAAAAAGCGATTTATCAGCCACAGAAAGGCAAACAGACCACACAACACTGCCCAAAAAGCCATTTATTAGCTACAGAAACGGAAACAACACCACAAAATACCCCCAAAAGCCATTGATTAGCCACACAAGGGAAACGCACTACAAAACACGCCCAGAACACACCCTAAAATACACCCCAAAAAGCGATTTATGAAATATAGAAAGGCAAACACACCACAAAAAACATCCCAAAAACACAACAAGAGAAACGCACCACAAAAAGCCCTTCATTAGCTACAGAAAGGCAAACACACCCAGAAAGCCATTTATTAGCCACACAAGGGAAAAAACACCACAAAAAACCTCAGAAAGCCTTTTTTAAGCCACACAACACACCCCAAAAAGCCATTTACTAGCCACACAAAGGTAAATACACCCCAGAAAGCCATTTCTTAGCCACCCAACAAGTGAAACGCACCACAAAAAGCCATTTATTAGCTACAAAAAGGCAAACACACCTAGAAAGCCATTTATTAGCCACACAAATGAAACTACACCACAAAACACCCCTGAAAGCATTTTTTTAGCCACACAACACACCCCAAAAAGCGATTTATTAGCAACACAAAGGTAAATACACCCCAGAAAGCCATTTATTAGCCACAGAAAGGGAAGCACACTCTAAAAAGCCATTTATTAGCTACAGAAAGGGAAACAACAACCCAAAAAGAGCTTTATTAGCCACACAAAAGGAAAAAAAACTAAAATACACCCCAAAAAACAATTGATTAAGTAAAGAAAGGCGAACACACCACAAAACACAGCCCAAAAAACAATTTATTAGCAACACAACAAGGGAAACAACGCCACAAAACACCCTAGAAAGCCATTTATTAGCTACAGAAAGGGAAACACACCACACAACACAGCCCAAAAAGCTATTTATTAGCTACACAACAAAGGAAAAACACCACAAAAAGCGCTTTATTAGCCACACAAAGGGAAACACACCCTGAAATACATCCCAAAAAGCGATTTATTAAAAACAGAAAGGCAAGCACGCCACATAACAAAGCCCAAAAAACGGTTTATTAGCAGCACAAGGGAAACAACACCACAAAACACCCTATAAAGCCATTTATTAGCTACAGAAAGGGAAACACACCACACAACACAGCCCAAAAAGCTTTTTATTAGCTACACAACAAGGGAAGCACACCACAAAAAGCCATTTATTAGCTACAGAAAGGCAAACACACCCAGAAAGCCATTTATTAGCCACACAACAAGGGAAACAACACCACAAGACACCCAAGAAAGCGGTTCTTAAGCCACACAACACACCCCAAAAAGCGATTTATTAGCCAGACAAAGGTAAATATACCCCAAAAAGGCATTTATTAGCAACAGAAAGGGAAACAACAACAACCCTAAAAGCGCGTTTTTAGCCACACAAAGGCTTCAATTCAGGATCAGGACACAGGGTTGCCAGATCCTGGACAGAAACCTGCATTCAGGTCAAAGAACACAAGCAGCGAGCAAGTCTCTTAACATCCATCTGTGGTGAAAGTAGACTGAAACCAAGAGAGGCTAAATAAAGTCAAAGTACCCTAAGAAGGCTTGATGGCTCTTTTTAGATTCATCTGCTGCCTTACTACTACTAAGACTTCTAACTGACTTTAGAAGATGTCTAAACAAACGACGATTAAAGACTGTGAAAGTAGCTCCAGATCCCGCGGCTCTCAGAGACCAAACACTAACGCAGTAGCCGATGATGCTAACGATGCCGCCAGCCCACGGAGGGACTTAACTGCGGTGCTTGAAGAACTGCAGTCAATCCGTACGGCCGTCACCGCGGTGAATACCAAGATATACACTCTGCGTGGCCTTGGGGAAAAACTAGACAACATGGAGAGATGCATTGTAGAGGAGTTTTGCGGGCCTTCAACAGGACATTGTTGCTAATGCTAACCGGCTCATACAGGCCGAAGGACGCATCAGAGACGCGGAAGATAGCCTGCAGAGTGTGCATACACAGCTGACTGATGCCGCTAAACGCATCTCTTTTTTGGAGTCTAAGATGGAAGACCTAGAAAATCGTGCCTGGAGAAAGAACCTAAGACTGCTAAGGCTCCCTGAAAATGCTGAAAAAACCCAGCCTATGACTGACTACATCCAGCGTATGTTGCCGGTTTGGCTGGGGGTTGATGCCGCCAAGTCGTTTACCTTGGAAAGAGCACATCGCACTTTGGCAAGACCAATACCGGATTATAACAGAGCCGTGATCATCCGCTTCCTGCGATTTCAAGACCATTAGTTTGTCTTCAAAACATCCAAACAACGCTCACTCACTCATGATGGCCACGAAATCTTCATTGCTCAAGATTTATTGGTGGAAACCATGAAGGCATGGAGCCCGTTCAATGCAGTGAGGAAAAAATGTATTGAAGCTGGAACTTTCCGGGGATTCGCCCTAGGTCCTTGCAAGATGATGGCCTTGCACAACGGGAAGATGGTTCTCTTCTCCACACCAGAATAAGCTGAGGACTTCATCCTAAACTTCTGAATCTCTGAGTGCTGGGGAGTATGGGTACCCATAGAAAGACTCATATGGACAACATAGGTGCGCAGTAGTTTGATATAGGTTCTGCGAAGGATAACTGTATATTTTATACTTTATAATTCAGCAGAGACATGCGCAGAGCTGCTACTACTGTTTGTGGTGGGCACTTTATTTTATGCACATTTTATCGGCCGATACATTTGTTAATTTAAAACAGGTCTCTGTGACAGTTATATACAGAAGTGTTAATAATGTTATGCCTATTTCTAGGACATGAATGTCTTAATGTTCAACCCGGGGTGCGGGGTTGTGGGGGGGGCCACGCGGGCTGTCTGAGAGAAGTGCCTACAGTTAAACCACTCCTCATTAGTGTGGACTGGTACTTGCCCTTAAATTTTTAGTTCAAGTAATGGAACTTGAAAACCTACACTTGAAAATAATCTTTCTTCAGGAAATTCATATCACAGTCACTGAAATTAAACATATACAGCATAGGTGGCCTGGTCAAGTTATACATGCCACATATAACAATCATGCTCTAGGGGTACTTATTCTTAGCCATAAAACAATTCCTTTTTAATTACTAATACTATCCGGGATCCCTAAGGAAGATTTGCAATGGGTCAGGGTAGGATCCTGTCTCGTGCATTGAATTTAGTCAGATTATTATTCCTAACGAAGACAACCCCAAATTTTTTGAAGATTTCTTCTTAACCTTGTCTTCGTTATGTGGTCTGAATATTGTTGGAGGAGATTTCAATTGCTTTCTGGGTGGAGTTTGCATGTTCTCCCTGTGTCTGCGTGGGTTCTCTCCGGGTTCTCCGGCTTCCTCCCACAGTCCAAAAACCTGCATGTTAGGCTGATTGGAGATTGGGGAAATTGCCCTTAGGAGTGAATGTGAGTGTGAGTGGTTGTTTGTCCTTGTATGTCCTGTGTGTGGCCCTGCGATGGACTGGCGGACTGTCCAGGGTGTACCCTGCCTCTCGCCCGTTGACCACTGGGATAGGCTCCAGTTCCCCCCGCGACCCCATGAGGGAATAAGCGGTATTGATAATGGATGGATGGATGGAGATTTCAGTTGCACTTTGAACCCGTCGATAGATCGCTATACAAAATGTTATCCTCATAAAAAACAATCTTGAAAAACTATTTTACAATATATCACAGACTTAAACTATCTGAAGTCTAGAAAAGACCTAATCTAGACAAATTAGCAATCTCCCACTAATTTGCATCTTCAAGTGAGTTGTCTTAAAAATACGTAATTTGTTAAATATGTAGAAGATAAGACTGAGGACTATTTGCAGATTAATACTAACCAAAATAACGCAACTAACGTTAGATGGGAAGCCATCAATACTCAAATGAAATTGCTGCAACACAAGTGGTTAATTAGGACAGGCATAACCCCTGAGAAACTCAATAAATGGTCACCTGACGTTCCAGATATGTGCGTAAAATGTTTGACTGAGAAAGGTACTTTGATCCATTGTGTATGGGAATGTCCTAAGTTGGTGGATATTTGGAAAAGGGTAGTCCGCACTCTTCAGTATAATCATAGGTACTCAGGTACCTTGCATAGCAAAACTCTGTATTTTAGGAGTCTACCCGGATTTCTTTCATGTGAACTCTAGGTGTAAGACTTTGATCAACTTTGGCCTCCTGCAGGCCAGGAGGATGATTGCACTATCTTGGAGAGAGACTGAAATACCCTCTATAAAGTCATGGATCAGGGAAATGTCAATGTGTCACATTAGAAAAGTTAACCTATGTAGTCAGAGGTAAAGCACAAGAATTTGAAGAAGTATGGACACCCTGGACTTTCTGAAGCAACAGTAGATTGTATTTATTTGTAAGGCTATTGAATGTAGTAGTTTTATGTATTTGTTTTATTTATTTATTTTATTTCTATAGTATTACTTGTAATTGTAATCATTGTTATTGTTTTATGTACGTACTCTTTGAAATTTTAATCTTAATTCATTTCAATTAATTACTTATTTTATTTTGTTTTGTATGTGTATCCAGTGAGGTTTGCCTGCTCTTCATTGTGCAAATGGTGTAGCTTGTGTCAACATGTTTTTGTATACTCTTATTTGAAATTAACTCATTGACTGCCAGCCATTTTCAGAACAGAGAGTACCATACTACCAGAGTTTTTTGGGGCATTTTGACAGATTTTTCAAGAGCCACAGAATAGTTTGTGCTATGACTATGTAAACACCGAACACACCAAAAGAAAGAGTAGACTCTCTTCTTTCATCAGGAAAAAAAATTGTTTCTACCTTATTCCGTTCTTCCTCGACTTGCATCTCACCGGCGACATGTTCTCTCATAGCGAACCGTTACCTTTTTCTTATTTGCCTACAGTCTATGCTCATCTCCTATAAAAAGTGGCACTGCCACCTAGAGGGTCAATTTGTTAGTACATACTCTGTCTAGAAGCCTGATATTTACAGACAATCTTTAGCAGATCGTCCCCCAAGCCACTCTCGTTGAAAAACATAAAAGACGTCTATAGACGTCTTTGGCATTCAACGGTTGTATTTGAATTGACGTCTATAGACGTCTTTGGCAGCCAATGAGTTAATAAAAAACATTGTTTAAAAAAAAAGCGGTTGTAGTCTCTGAAGCTCACAATTAAGCACGGACTGTTCTGTTCGTAGAGCATAAACACCTGGGAAAACACATTCTTAAAGTAGCGTGTAGGGAAGATGTTCAAGATATGGATGAAATATGTTCTGGCTACACTCCTGGATGGAAATAGCCCGGTGTAAGACAAAAAGATACGGGATCACCAAATATAGGGGAAGGCGTAAGGCTGGGCGATTTTTTTATTTTATTTACAATGTAAAATTTCTCTACGATTATAAATTACACGTTCAATAAGCTGATGCCTTAAAAAAAAACATCAAAGTTTTTACAGACCCATGAATACCCAGTCACATCTTAACAGCGCCGCACGTAGAAACTAGCAGCGGCGCAAAGCTGAGAAGTTTGGCGCAAACGATTTCTCCAACCAAACTCTAAAAGCTTCTAAGACTTTAAAAATGAGCGAGAACTCTGTTGACGGTAGTTCTGAACAGGAATCAAGTGAAAATACTGCCAGGAGAAGTACGACATCGTTAAAAAGAACAACAGAGTAATGCACTGTGCAAACTATGTAGAAGGACCATAGCTACTAAAACAGGAAACACATTTGTTTCGGCATTTAAGACAGTGCCACCCATTAGATCACGCACACTTATGCATTATGTTTATTACATTTGTAATATTCCAGAAAATAAAATACAAAATACAAAAAAAGTTATTTTGTTCATACTGTGATATAAAATCGTAATCGAACATTTTTTGGGGAACAAAATCTAAATATAACTTTTTTCTCATATCGCCCAGCCCTAGGAAGGTGCACCCAGAGTTAGGCAGAGTTTTCTCTGACATCGAGCGATGAGACCTCTCAAGACTTGTTGCATCAATCTGTACTATCCTCTTTGTTCGACCAAGTCTGCCTCAGCAGAGTTTTTCCTGCAGTACCCTCTCGAGCTATTTGAAGACGATCATCCCATAATTCATCACAGGTTCTGTCCACAGATGGGAAGCTGCTGCCGGCTGATCTGACCCACTACCTGGTGCCCGACGCTCAGGTGGTGCTTAGCTTCCTGGAGATCCTGGAGCTCAGGGAGCTGCGAGGACTTGTTTTCACCCAGACGGCCGCCCAGGCTCTGCAGAGCAAAGGGAGAAGGTACCATCAAGAGCCTCCTACTGACTCCTGTTAACTGCTACTGACTCCTGTTAATTATTACTAACTCCTGTTAACTCCAACTGACTCCTAATAACTCTCGCTGACTCCTGTTAACTCCAACGGACTCCTGTTAACTTCTGCTGACTCCTGTTTACTCCTATTAACTCTTACTGACTCAAACGACTCTTGTTAACTCCTGCTGACTCTTGTTAACTCCTGCTGACTCCTGTTAACTGCTACTGACTCCTGTTAACTCCTACTGACTCCTAATAACTCTCGCTGACTCTTACTGACTCCTGTCTACTCGTCTTAACTCCTACTGACTCCTGTTAACCCCTGGTGACTCTTCTTAACTTCTGCTGACTCCCGTTTACTCCTATTAACTCCTGCTGACTCTTATTAACTCCTTTTAAGTTGTAGTGACTCTTGTTAACTCCTGCTGACTTTTACTGACTGTAGATAACTCCTACTTACTCCTTCTGACCTGCTAACTCCTGCTGACCTCCTTTTAACTTCTGCTAACTTTCTAACTCCTATTGATTCCCCGCAAACTCCTAACTCCTGCTGACCTTTCTTAACTCCTGCTAACTCCTGCTGACCTGCTAACTCTTACTGACTCCCAGATAACTCCTTCTGACCGGCTGACTCCCCCTGTTCTGTCTCCAGGTACTACAGCCGCCTCCGGTCTTTGCTCAGAGATCGGCGCCACGACTGCGTGCTGTTTGCTAATGAATTCCAAGCATACTCATACTGCCCGCGGGAGAAGGGCGAGACTCAGGAGAGCTGGCAGACCAGGTCAGAACCAGACCCACAACCAACGGGAGGCATTGACCCCAGAGAGGGCAGCGAGACTATAGACGAGACCAGGTGTTAGCTTACCAGTTCTTAGCTTATTAGGTGTTTAGCTTCTCAGGTGTTTAACTTATCAGGTGTTATCTTACCAGGGGCCAGGCTCGCTGGCCTCCCAGGCTGGGAGTTAGGATCCAGGGACAATCGGTTGGTTTTCACTGGCTACATGGTTAGCATGGATTTAGGCTACTGTTTAGCATAGGCTATATAGGCTTCATGGTTAGCATGGAATTAGGCTACTGTTTAGCATGGGCTACATAGGCTAGATGGTTAACATGGATTTAGGCTACATGGTTAGCATGGATTTAGGCTATTGTTTAGCATGGGCTACATAGGCTACATGGTCAGCATGGGTCTGAAATGCACTCTTCCCTCCAGGTGTGTGTACTCGGCCGCTGTTTGGTACTTCAACCACCTGGCAGGGATGATGAACGTGGTGATGATCACAGAGGACGAGGACGCGGTGGCTCGATACAGCAGCCTGAACTCTGGAGTTTACGTCGTCTCTGTCCAGGTTTGTGTGCAGTGTCCAGGGAGTTGGTTTGAACCTTTCATCCTATAAGATGTGCTTTTTTTTAAGTGGAAATGTGGAGTTCATGAGAAATTTGTCTCAGATCTGTCGGCTCATTCAGACTTTTTCGGGTTGACACAGAATTCAAATACATTTAATGTTGTTTTTTATTAGAAATATGTTTTTTTTTCTAGACAGTTTGGGAACTATCTCCTATTGCTAATGTCCGTCAGCTGCTGTAAAATTGTAACAAGTAACTGTTTCATAAATGAGACTAGCTAAGAAAAGGTTCAATGTGTAAAAACAGACCTGCTCTGCAGCTTCATTAGGTTCTGTGAAAACAGATTAATGACTCCATACTGACTCCTGTTAACTCCTACTGACTCTTGCTAACTCCTGCTGACTCCTGTTAACTCCCATTGACTCCCTACTGACTCCTGTTTACTCCCACTGACTCTTGTTAACTTCTGCTGACTCCTGTTAACTCTCACTGACTCCAACTGACTCCTTTTAACTCCTACTGACTCCTGTTAACTCCAACTGATTAACTAAATTTAAGTAAATTTAGTTTAGTTAAGTTTTGCTGAGAGATGATTTTCCATGATGCTTTTGTGGTCAGATGTGCAATGACTGTGTGAGGGAATAAAGTGTCTCTGCCATCTTTATTTTCACCTGTTTTTTTATTCAAACAGTTGAAAAAAGAGGCTTTTTTGTTCTTTCTGGCTACATTTAGTTGCTTACTCAGCTTATTTTATGTGTAAGCCTACCAAATGTTCCGGTCTGTTGGATCAGAAACGCTTAAAGACGTCAGTTCCTGCTGTATTCACACCGTGAACTCGACAGGATCCTCTTGTCTACTTGTAGAATCTCCCCAGAGCCTGTTTTTATTGATTTATTCTAATATTTTTGTCCCTCTCCAGGACTACTTGCAGAACTTCTGGCCGGAGCTGCAGGCGGCTCATGATCTGTACGGCTCCATTTCCCAGGCTCTGCAGGAGAAGGAGGCCGAAGGCTCGCAGAAGGAGTACAGCGAGCACCTGCCGGCCGAGATCCTGGAGGCCGGCATCAAGTCAGGACGCTACCTTCAGGTACAAATCCAGCTGCTTCTGGTTCTTATGAAGCCTCCAGCTGCTGCTCATTTCTATTTAAAACCGAATCTGTACAGCAGAACCTCTGCACACATCCAAATTTTCCAACATACGAAGCAAAATTCGATCAAATATTCGACTCGACACCCAAAATAAATTTCCAATATCTGCTCAGTGTGGGCTCTGAGCATGCTCAGTAGGCCCAGTAGGCTCAGAGGGTCTACTGAGCATGCTCAGTGGGCTCAGTAGGCCCTCTGAGCATACCCAGTGGGCCCGTTGTGACGCTGCCGTTGGCCTCAGGGTTCCCTGGCTGTGAGTAAGCACCGAGCGCAGAGCGAGGCCTTCCTGACCCCGGGCTCGTCCAGTAAGAGCGCCGCCACCGACCTGAGCGGCGGCGTACTGGTGCACGGCGGCAGGAACCGCAACCGGGCCGTGCACGGCGACGCGGTGGCGGTGGAGCTGCTGCCCCCCAGCGAGTGGAGAGGGAAGGTCACGGCGCTGACCGAGGGCCAAGGCGAGGAGAAGGGCGGTGAGGACGGAGAGCGCAAGCCCATGCCCACAGGTACGACCCCCCCCCCGGCCAAGGACAGGTCAGAGGAAAGGAAGCACAGCTTAGGATAGGTCAGAGGAAAGGAAACACAGCTTGGGTCAGAGGAAAGGAAACACAGCTTGGGTCAGATGAAAGGAAGCTCAGCTTAGGTCAGATGAAAGGAACCTCAGCTTAGGTCAGAGGTCAGAGGACAAGCTGACATGGCTCCGCCCCCCCACAGGCCGCGTGGTGGGGATCCTGCAGAGGAACTGGAGGGACTACGTGGTGACCTTCCCCTCCAGGGACGGCTCTCAGTCCCAGAGCCGGAGCTCCCAGCGCATCTTGGCCGTCCCCTGGGACCGCCGCATCCCCAAGATCCGCATCAGCACCCAGCAGGCCGACGCTCTACAGGTGAACGCAGCTAATGGCCCTTTAGCATTACCTCACCCAGAGGAGCTAATGGCCATTTAGCATTACC